AATATCCACTAAAACATTTTTGCCCATTCTTCAAATCCATGCTTCCCATTCAAAAACTATGAACTGAACACAGCTGTATGATAATTGAATTTTTCATCTAAATCAATTTTCTCAGCATAAAATTTTCTAAACTCAATAAAATTGCTTTTTAATGAATAAGCGATAAATGAAGACATTAAAAGGATATTAAATATTATCTAATATTACGTTAGTAAAATTTTGTTCTCTCCCTTGTTCTGCTCTGTTTCTCCACCCTTGTTTATAGACGTTTAAAAATTTCGTTCATTGATTTATGACATTTGTCTATGTTCCTTTTGTGCGTCTTGGCCAAAAAACAAATTTCGAGAAAATGTTTGAGAATGATTTGTTGAGGTATTGGTTCTTTCATTTTTGTGAGGACTCATTATTTATTTTGTGTGTTTGGATTTTACTTTTTTTTGGGACTGATGGCTTGTTGAGAAGAAATTTATCGGTTTTTAACAGATAACAGATGAGAATAGTTTTAAAAAAAATTAAAATGATGTTTTTGAGTTTTTATGAATATTTTGTTGGTAGCAATTATGCATGAAGACGCCATTTTGTAAATTTGGCTGTAAAAAGTATTGTGAATTTAGGGGTAGTCCATGCATTTTATGTTGAGTACTGATGAATTTTATCACATTTATTGAAATTTAAATTGAATTTCATTTTAAAATCTTTACCATAGCAAATGCTAAACCATATTCATACAATATTTCGATTTTATAGCTTAATAGCTTTGTGATGCACTTAACCTTTCTGAAATGATCTAAGGTCTAGAATCTATTAAATCTAGTGTTTGACTTTTAAAATATTAGATCTAGTGATCGAATGTACCTTACAGTAGCTGTATCACCATAACCTCCAAAACAAACATTTTACCTCAAACAGCATTCTACTATCCATTGAATCTAAAATATCAATATCAAAGCATTCGACCATTCACAAAAAAATCTAACAATCTCATTTCAATTAATCATACAATTTCCAATCATTTTCCCAATCATAGTTCTACTCAATGATCATTATCTGATTATTTATTTTTTTTTGTAAATGAATAGATTACAAAAAGCCTAATCCAGAGCACGACAGTTCAACCATAACGAAGCAATTTCGATTCAGAAAATGAGTTTTTTTTTGTTATTTTATTTACAAAAAAAAACATGTGGTCAAATGTGAACTATCTAATAATATTCTATGTAAAAAAAACTAAACCTCAATACACAGAAAAGAATCATTTGAGAAATTCATGACTGAAGTCATGTTGATTATTTTAAAGCTAAAATAGAGTTGAGTAATGTCTTCCATGAAGCTGGAACATTTATTGATAGTAATTTTGATCTCAAACATTCGAAAGTGCAGTCGACTTTCAAATTTAAAATGTGTCTCATTCATAAAATTGTCATTTTTATTATAGCTTTGACATTTCCACCATAAAAAGTCAGCCTAGTGCTTGTTCCATTTTCTTTACTATCTTTTCATAAAACAGTAATACAAAGTATTTCAATAATTTTTTTAAAAAACATGAGAAAAAAAATTCTTTATGAATATTTTGCAGCATGGAACATAGATGAAAAGAATGAGAGAGCAGCATAAAGAGAGGGAAGGAAAAAAGCGATTGTACAATGCCAATAATTTCATAAAAAAAGAGCCTTGTGAAACCTTAGAAAACATTGTTGCATTTTGTCATGGAAAAAAAAATAATCTTAACACACGGTGCTTATTTTGAACATGGCTGTAAAAATTGCAATGAAGCTGCTGCTGCTGCACTAGTAGAATGCAATTTTTTCTCGCTGCTCTGTGCTCTGGGTTGTTTTGCAATTCACAATTCATGACGAAATTATACAGCGGAATGGAAAGGTGGGAGATTTTGCAGCGAAAAAAAAAGTCAAATTGAAAGTGTGCTTATTTGTGCCTCTCTAATATTCAATTGCATTTGAGAGCTTTTTTTTTGTGTAAAGTGAAGGAAAAAAAAGAGCTATAGAATCCAATAAGTAACTGCTCACCTATTAGTGCCACAATCAAGTACATTTAATTTTACATGAAAAAAAAAGCCACAAGTTTGTCTATGAATTTAATGCTGAATTTACAAAGACACTTAAAGATTGTTTTTTAGCATAATTATGGGGGACATGATCAATGGTGGCTAGCTTGGCTACTTTTCTCTTGGTCAGAAGCAAGTGATCAAATCGATTTTGGTTAAATTTGATTATTAAATCAGGAATAAGAAACGTCAATTTTAAAATAGTCTAAAATTGTGAAAATTAAGAACCAGGGCTGTTCTGCTATAACGCTTAACTGTCTAGGATACTTACCCCCTTCTCTATAGTTAATGATATTTTGAATGAAGCATCCTTAAACTCTGGCTCTTCTTACCTCAGCATATGATGCTGATCATCTCTCGAAACTTCGCTCACAACGTCAATTTCCAAAACAAAGCTTCCTTACTTGACTACATTTTGCGTTCACTTTGCACTTAAAAGAAATGAGAGAAACATAGAAAAAAAGATATAAAAAAATTTTGCAGTAAAATGCACGATGCAAGAAACAAAAAAAGCCTTAAAATGGAAAGAAAAAAAAACTAAACTTCAAAGCATGTGAACAGGTATATACTTATGAGGTGCGCAATGCTTTTGCAATCACTTATAATTTTTTTTCTATTTTGCACAGCATTGAAATTCTATTGCACAATGTAGATGCAACAAGAGATTTCTTAATTGCATTACTATTTAACACAAATTGAAAATAGAAATTGAGGAGAGAAAAAAAAATATGTAAACATAAGGCTTGAAGCCATTGGCGAGTCAAAAGAGAAGCGAAAAAAAATGATGACTATCATGAATTTTTTAATACTTTAATAAAAATTTTGTAATCGTTGCAATTTTTTTTTCTTCATTTTAAAGCAATGGATTTATTTTATATTAGATTGTGCAAAGGAGTAAATGCTTACCGCTCACAAATTTGTAATATTTTTCTTAATAAATGGGATTTTTATACATATAGCTGTCCATCTAATTAATATACGTGGATCATCTACAATAAATTAAAATGAAATCTAGTCAAGGCGATACTTTCATTTCTAAAATGATGAGTTGCTTTGCTTTAAGCAACAGAAAATGTATTTTAGATTGAAACATTTTGTAATTTGTTTAATTTATTAAGTTTAATTTGATCATATTTGCACCAAATTTATATGGCGTACAATCACACCAGCTTTAGTATTTCTATATCATTAGGTTCGCATTCTGCCATGCTTCTAAATAGCCCCCGCTAGCTTAGAGGTAAGAAAATGAGATCGAACACCGTAAGTGTACAAGTTCAATTCCTGCTGATGACAAAAAGTAAGGGATGTTACGTTTTCTGCTTAAATAAATACAATTCAAGTTCCATGATTTTCCAAATACCAAATCTAACTGTTTTTAAGCTATTAGCTTTACATAAAAAAGTAATTTCCGAGAGATTCCCAGAAAAATTCAAAATCGGTGTTTAATTCCTACAACATCAAATATTGTCTCATTCCTATCGTCTGGATCCATAATTTAATAATAAAAATAATCAGATTTCTGTGAAATTGAAAATAGATTTTTTTAAGCATCAAGCATAAACACAAGCGCAGCGCAATAAGAAAGGGAGGGCACATCATAAATATTATGACACATTTGCTTCAAATCTTTTGTTCGTGACTTGATAAATTGGATATTATGGTAAATGAGTAAATAGTAAAAACTCATTAAACTTCCTGCTAAAGTCATGCTTGAAGCCTCTTTGCTGCATGAGAATGACAAATTGCTGCACATCAAAACAAATTTTACAGATGAAAAGAAAGAAGAAGAATTGGATTCTTGTGGGATTGAGGAATAAAAAAAAAGCAGAGTGAGAGAGAGAAAAAAATTGTTATTGATTTCATCTCTTTTGGGAAATGAATATTAAAAGAAGAAGAATAAAATATCCTTCGAGTCATTGAATCATCTTTAATCAATTTCTATTATGAATAAGGCTCAGTGTCCCATTAGGGAATAGTTGCAGTATGTGTGTGGTGCAAATGGGTAAATGATTTGGAATATTGAGGAAAAAAGCGCAATTTTATATTAATCTTTTACGTCTTACCTTTTTCTGTGCAGATATTTTGATGCGATTAGGATGTTGAGATGCTTTGTCTTGTTGACATGGTTTTAGAATCGCTGGAATTTGATCTGGACATGCAAAGTTTATTTGACGAATTATTGAATATTGCTAATGATAATTCAGGCACTGATGCATGCTAGTTAAAGGTTTGACCAACTTATTATCGACGTACTAGTCATCGTGTGAAGACCTGGTGAAGACAAAAGGATATAAGCACAGATTAAAAAAAGTTTAATTCCTTCAGTAAAGCTAAACCAAAGCATCAAAATTCAAAATTAATTTGAAATTAAATGCGCTTCAGCTGCAACAAAAATCGATCACAATCCCAACACGCTAGCTTACAGATTTATTGTCAATGATATAAGTCGAAGACATTACACAATACAAAAGACTTTTTCTTCCTTCATTTTTCTTTTTCTTCTTTTTTTCCCATCTCGTGAATGTGTAACAGCCAGCAAGCAGTGATAAAAACGAAAAAAAAGTAAGAATGAAGCAGAATGAAGAATAAGACTTAAAATGAAATAAAAAAAATTTTTTTTGGTCTCCTCCATTTCTTTCTCTTCTTTCTCTCTTCACATTTTGTGCTAAATTTATGTCTTCTTTCTTCCTTTTATCTTTCTACTTCGACTATTCTCATACATTTTACATTCTCTTACCGTATAGTCACGTCGTTTTACTTTCGATTTCTTTTCGCCTCGACCTCCTCATTGCTTCTACTCTTTAATTGTTGTTGGCTGAAGCCTTTTACTAAATACATTCCTCATCAATTTCTTCCAGACGATCGCAATTTTTTTTTCTTCTCGCTTTCGTGTTTTTTTTTTCCTCTTTTTGCAGACGTTTTTTTTTCTTTCTTTTTTCGGTTTCTGATTCTATCAAGCTGAATTTAAAATTCTTTCAGTTTTTCTTTCCTTTTTCGTGCCTGTTTTCGTGCTTGCTTTAATGAAATAATTTTTATGCTTATGTGTTGAGAAATATCGGTAAAATACTTATGCTGGCTTTAAATGTTGAAATGACTAGACTTGAACTCAAATAGAATAAAAATTGGCTATTTAAAAACCGTTATTATTTTATTCCATTTCATTGCTTGTGGATTGGTATTGAATGATCATTCTTGGCTATGTTGAAATTCGACACAATTTGTTTTGAATTTCAGGTATTTGAGGTATTTTATTCCTTACCATAAAAGCTTGATTGAATGCAAAATTTATTGGTGAAATTTGAGAAATTCGATTCACGCAAATTGCAGACATGTGATGGTCATGAATTTTGTCGAGTAGTTTGCATTCTATTAAGTGTTGGATAACAATTCTTTCGGCATCAAAATTAATCATAAAGCAACATTTTGTATCATTATTTGGATGTTGAAAGTACAACCGTGATGACTTGAAGCTAAATCAATTGATTTTTTCTGATGGTTTACGTAGTTATTAAACTTTTTGTGTAAATTTGATGTTTAACTTGAGAAAATTGTGAATAAATGTCATTTGTAGGCACAAAAACATCCTAAAATTTTTTTTTTAAGTTTACTGATTTTTTTGACAACTTATTTTGTGACTGCAAGGAAATTTAAGGATCTCAAACGTTGCATTTGAATTGCTTTAAAATTTTTGAATCAACTTCCTGAAATTGATAATTCTGAATTGATTAAAAAGGTTGAATATATAATGTTTGAGTTAAGTCTGAATTCAACAAATATTTTCACAATTAAATTTTGAAATAAATGAGCATCAAATTCTTGAGATCAGTCTATGATGGTGATTAAACCCACGGTCAAACAAAAGAATTACAAAATGTCGGTATTATACCTTACTTTTCAACCAAAAATGTCATTTCTCAAACTTGCACATTCTTCAATACATGAATTTTGACAAAAAAGCTAATGGCTTGAAAAAAAACATGTTTACTTCTATCAAATTTATTATTTTTGGTTCAAAACATGTTTTTCTCACTTATTTAGGTTAATCTTCTATCCAGTTGTTCTATTATTATCATCTTATTCTTTTGCAACTATTTTGAGAATCAAATTGTAAAGCCATTTTATGGAACAATTGTTAAAATGAAATTCAATGAGTTTTCATGAAGATAAGTAAACAAGTTACAGTTATGAACCACTTAAAAATCTACAAAAAGCATCAATTATACCACAAAATTGAAGTTTAAATAAACCGTTATAAATAAAACTATGAAAATTGCACAGAATAGCACAAGCAAAAAAGAGAAACAAAACAAGAAATATGAATGCTCGGTAAAACGGAAGTTTAATTTAAAAAATAAAACAACTATCTGATTTACTTCACGTAATCATCGTCAGTAATTGAAAATCAAACAACTTCATTAAGTTTAAGCAAAAGCTAAAAATTTTCAAGCCTCATTTTGCATCAAAATCCTTCAATTTTTCTCGCATTACACAAAATAATCCAACAATTATGAATTTGTCATAGAAAAATCTTGAAAAGTCAGCAGAAAAGGTGAAAAGAATTGCACAAGAAATTTATTTTTTTTTGCTAAAACAAACGTGAAAGAGAGAAAAAAAAATTCAAACCATAACTTAACATAGTTATGGAAGTAACCTTCATATTGTGCACTAGATTGGCATGGAAAAACGATGCTGAAGTTTAATGAAACTGAAAGTGAGTGTCTATAAGCACAGTGCACACAGTCAACAAGCCACGAACAAGCAGAGGGGAAAACAACACGATGGGGAAAGGTTTTGTCAGGAAATTAAGCTCACAATTTCAAAATGTTGTTAGGAAATTGATAGAAAATTTCTCATTTTGTTAAGAACTTTTTCCCCACAAAGTTGATTCCCCCTTGGATCAGGCATGATCTTAATATAAAAACATTGCAAAATATCTTGCAATTTCAAAATTGTTGTATATTTTCTCATATTTTAATGAGCTATGCTTATGACAGCAATCGCGAATAAATAGAAAATTGTCCACAGAGTCAATTGGCAATAGATGCTCATTTCGGTGTCAATCTCGAGTTCTTTTGTACTTTTTTTTTATGTTTTTGTTGTCATCCAAATCATGATCATCATCATCAGTGCACACATATTTCATTCTTTCAGGCATACAAACATCTCCAGAAAGGAGAGAAATAAGAAAGAAAGAAATATAAAGATTCTTGAAATGTGTCAGTCATCCTCTCGTCAAAAATAAAAGAAATACTGAAAGAAAAAAAAATAAATGTTAAAAATTGAAGAAAAGAGAAAAAGGTTAAGAAATCAGCATTTCGTGTGTAAAGTTTCTGCTTGAAAAGCAAAAAAAAAAGAGAAAAAAAAATCGCTTCTTACTTCTTTTTCGTCTCGAATTGCTCGGGCACAGCACCACAGTCAGAGCAATTTTCAAGGTCAATATTTTTCTTTTCTTTCAGCCTGATGCCTTTCAATAGTCTTGATTTTTTTTTGTTGCTGCTTGTGCTGTGTGTATATAGATACATATAAGCCATAATAACCAATTTCAATTTCATCGTCATTTCTTCTCTCTCTTTCGATTTTTTTTTTCCTTTTTTTTCTTTTCTTCTGTTATTGCCTGATGTCCAGCCAGACAAATATTTTTCTTTATCGCATTTGAGGAGAGCAGTTGGATAAGAAGAAGATGGACTGAAAAATTATAACAAAAAAATCAGTTAGACATCAATATATGTCTTAGAATTTATATATTGCTACACATGTGCTGCGATTAGGGTTTCTAGCGCAATTTTTTTATTACATAAATACTGGGAGATTTATGTGGATCTTAAAAAGGTCCATTAGTCTGCAGTTTTTATTTTGCATTTATGGATTTATTTTATACAAAAATGTGAGTCCGGAAATGGTGTTTTTCTCTGAATATTACATAAGTTTGAAAGATCGATGGATTTTTAGAAAGATGAAACATCGTGAGATGTTTTCGGAAGTAAATTTGTCAATCTTCAGGGTGAGTCAGTTTTATATTAAAATATATTATACTTTATAGGTATTCAAAAATCGCGTAATTTTATTGAGGATCAAATTTCTTATTTTTTGGAATATTAAATCATATTTGTGGTCACAATTAATTTCTTCAATAAAATGTTTGTTGTTGACGATTTTTGTGTGAAAAATTTTGTTTGCATTTAATTAGGATTGTCAGCTTTTAAGCTTAAGTGTAAGAAATTAGCTTAATAATAAAGATTTGTGATTTAACTTCAATTGGAAAAATTCTAACGGTATGTACAAATTGAATTGCAGTGCCTCAGCTGAAAAGCTGGGCCCTTCACACCTTACTTTCATTATTCTTACAGAACATCTACATGATCAACTTAAGATCCAGATCATTGTAAACCAGTAGTTGAACTAAGATTCTTGTGAGATTTCTACAAAACATAATAAGCTTGAAAACAATCAGGAATTTCATATGACCTTAAATAACACGCTTAGAATCAGTTGCATGCATCTTAATCTGTCAAGCTTAATAGCGGAAACTCACAAATTTGATTAAAAAAATAATTATGAAATCAAACTTAGTTTTCAATTGAAAATCATCCAAATTCAAATAGCAGTGAAGAAGTTACAAAAAAATTAAAATCACCAAACTCATATTTCCAAGTTATTTTGCAACTCAGCATACGCTAAAACTGTCGGAATTAAAAATAAAATCGTGAAAGAATCCTTTTCGAGACGAGTGAAAGAAGTACGTTTAAAAGGAAGTTAGACAATAATTGCATTCCATATGTGTGTCTTGCCAATAATAAATTCCTTAACACGGACCTGTTGATTGGGTTTCACAAAAATAAAAAAAAAGTATTATAAAAAAAGGAGTAAAAAGAAGATCAAGAATCTAATCGAGAGCGATGTATAAAAAAAAGAATGAAATAAATAAAAAAAAAAATTAAGAAGCAGTAACTGAAAGAAGAATGCTAAAGAAAAGTGTTTCACAATAGCTCAGCTCGAACGAGAGAAAGAATGAAAGAAAAGAACGAAAGCAATTTCGAAAATCATAAAGGCTTCAGTCGACGTCGTGGAACAATGCGCAATTTTTTTGTTGTTGTTATTATTGCTGCTACTGTCGTTATTGTCGGGACCTTATATCCAAAAAAATCTCGTTTTATTATTTTTGGATTTTCTTCTTTCTTTCTGCTCTTCAACTCTCTTATTCATGCTTCTTATTTTTAGAGGGGTATTGAGTGTGATGAAAGGATTACTTACTTTACTTTTTATATCTTAAGACAGTTTTAACACATTTTTCAATTCTTTTCGTTCAAAATACCTTAAAAATGTGACTAGCTTTTGTTACTTTTTTTAATTCACTCGAATGCATTTTCCGTCGAAATTTGCTAGCTTTGTATTCTTGTAAAAGAGTGGAATTAAAATTTAAATTTCATTCCGATTAAGACTAGTATTAAGTTAAGCTTCATGTTACGAGCTTATAACTTGCTTATGATTACGTCGTGGAAAGTCAAACAGTTAAATAAGACAATAGAACTGTTCGCTTAATTTTCTTCGAAAATCATTAACTTCTCGTTATAACTAGCACATAAGTCAGTACTTCTCAAACTATGAACTGCGATACAATTTTTTGACGACAAAATCTTTAAATGTGTCCTTAAGAGTATGGCAATACCCAATATATTTACGAAATTAACTGTGTCATGGCCCATAAAGTTTGTGAAGCACTGACATAAGTGGATGGAAAAATATTTATGAAGGTACGATTCATGAGCTGAATATGAATAACAAGAAGACAATTTTTTTTTGAAACACGAAACACTTTAAATGTTAGATTCATGAGAAATGAAATTTTACCTTCTTTGCACCTTGAAAAGCTATCCTGAGTGCCATTATGTTATCTAATACCTTCAGAAGTTTTTTGTGGGATTTTTTTTTATTCAGCATATTGTTTTAAAGTTTACAATAAATTTATGATATGCAGTTAGCTTCTGAAGCCAGTTATTCTCAGCATGAGATGGCTTGATTCTTAATTTTGTTTTGCAGATTAGAATTTAAACTGTGAAAATTCGATAATCTTGTGAATTTCTACAGTCAAATGATCAGAAATGGCTACCTGAAGTCTATTGAAAAGTTTCATGACTAAATGCACATTTTGCAGTATTTATTGAGACGACTCTTATCTGACATGATCCTACACCACTCATCCTCTAAGCTGTTGAGTTCTTAAATCATATTTTTCATGCTCAGTCTAATATTTTAAAATTCTGGGTGATCCACACCAAAAAATATTCAAATTCCTCATCATTTCAAGGTGATTCCAGCATCTAAAGTGAATTTTTCACCATGAATCACACACGACTACCAAAAAAATAATCAAATATCTGCAAATATGACTACATTCATCATAAAAAGAAATCCACATACAACACATATTATTTAAGACTTTTATTTGATG